TTTCTTCCATTTAACGTATTATTATTATTACGATGACTACTGCTATTATTATTATTATTCTCGTTCAAATCGCCGTATCGCTTTCCTCTTCCCCGACACCTACGGCAGTAGGAGAAGACTCGTAATTAACCCGGACGGTGCCAATTAAACGTAATTAATGACGGGACGGAGAGCTGGTGGTGTTGCGAGGCAGGGTTTCACGTGGGCAAGGGACGTCGGAGGGACGTTGGGCCTGGCGCAGTGCCGGAGGAACGAGCGACGGTGCTGGCTTGCGGTGGCGACCCCGGTGGCCTCGCGAGCGTCGCGCACCCACGCGGTGGTGGGGGGGTGCCGAGTGGTGGGGGGGGCCGAATGGTGGGGGGGGGGGACCGAGTTGTGGGGGGGGGGGGGGGCCGAGCGGTGGGTGGGGGGGACCGAGTGGTGGGGAGGGGGGCCGAGCGGTGGGTGGGGGGGACCGCTCTCCGCGTTCCCGTGCCGCCGTCCTCGGCGCGAGTCGTGCCGCCGCCTTGTCCGGGATGGTGGAGCGTTCGAGCGAGACGGAGTGACGGGCCGCGGCGCTGCGGTGCTGGGATTTACAAGAATAATGACTGATGATGACGATGATGATGATGACGATGATGACGATGATGACGATGATGATGACGATGATGATGATGTGTACGCGCGTGGGACCAAACTAACAAGAATGATCGTACCGAGATTCACGGCGGCGGCGGCGGCGGCGGCGGCGTTGTCGCTGCGCGCACGGAGAACCGCGGTCGATTTCTTCCTTCGCCAAAAAACATTCACAGGCAGCGGTGGGAAGGCGGCGGGAGTTGGGGGGGGAGTTCAGCAATTATTGAGTGAACGTTGGGGCAACGTGGTGGTGGTGGTGGTGGTTGTGGCGGTGATGGTTTTGTGGGGGTGGTGGGGGGCAGTGTAGGGGGGTGTTGTTTGAGTTCTCGGTGATTCCTCGACAGCGTGAGCCAGACCCGCTTGCTTCACATCGTTAACCTCTCATCGTTAACCTCTCATCGTTAACCTCTCGTCGTTAACCTCTCAACGTTAACCTCTCATCGTTAACCTCTCATCGTTAACCTCCCATCGTTAACCTCTCAACGTTAACCTCTCAACGTTAACCTCTCAACGTTAACCTCTCATCGTTAACCTCTCAACGTTAACCTCTCATCGTTCACCTCTCATCGTTAACCTCTCATCGTTAACCTCTCATCGTTAACCTCTCATCGTTAACCTCCCAACGATAACCTCCCATCGTTAACCTCTCATCGTTAACCTCCCATCGTTAGCCTTTCATCGTTAACCTCCCATCGTTAACCTCTCATCGTTAACTGCGCCACGCCGGCAAGCTCAAAGACCCGGGGTTCGGCTTCCGCTCACGGCCAATAAGAGTGGCAAAATATGTATTTTGGTCTTCCCCTAGGTTGACTCAGCATTAAACGAGTACCTTGCGCGGCGTGCGTTGAGCAGCATCGCCGCCGGACGCAGCCCCACGTGTGCCGCTGATACTCGCTAACAGCGCTCGCCCCAACAGTCGAGTTTAGTTTACTAAGTTTAGTTTACTAAGTTTAGTTTATTAAGTTTAGTTTATTAAGTTTAGTTTACCAAGTTTAGTTTACTAAGTTTAGTTTACCAAGTTTAGTTTACTAAGTTAAGTTTACCAAGTTTAGTTTACTAAGTTTAGTTTATTAAGTTTAGTTTACCAAGTTTAGTTTACTAAGTTTAGTTTATTAAGTTTAGTTTACCAAGTTTAGTTCACTAAGTTTAGTTTATTAAGTTTTTAAGCCAGTTGGCCAGGATTGGGTCAAAACTGAGCCCACTTTTCACCCAGTCTCTATGAGTCTCTGTCTATCTCTATGTATCTCTATGAGTCTGTCTATCTCTATGTATCTCTATGAGTCTGTCTATCTCTATGTATCTCTGAGTCTGTCTATCTCTATGTATCTCTATGAGTCTGTCTATCTCTATGTATCTCTATGAGTCTGTCTATCTCTATGTATCTTTATGAGTCTGTCTATCTCTATGTATCTCTATGAGTCTCTGTCTATCTCTATGTATCTCTATGAGTCTCTGTCTATCTCTATGTATCTCTATGAGTCTCTGTCTATCTCTATGTATCTATGAATCTCTGTCTGTCTCTATGTATCTCTATGATTCTCTGTCTATCTCTATGTATCTCTATGAGTCTCTGTCTCTATGTATCTCTATGAGTCTCCGTCTGTCTCTATGTATCTCTATGATTATCTGTCTATCTATATGTATCTCTATGAGTCTGTGATTATCTATGTATTTCTATGAGTATCTGTCTATCTCTATTTATCTCTATGAGTCTCTGTCTATCTCTATGTATCTCTATGAGTCTCTGTAGCAGCACAGTGTCACTAATCTAACATTACAACTAACAATAGCATACTAAACAATCACAGTCAAGAGTTAAACAACATATATACTATTGCAAAGAATGATAATACAGTGATGGAAAAAAGTATTTGATCCCCTGCTGATTTTGTACGTTTGCCCACTGACAAAGAAATGATCAGTCTATAATCTTAATGGTAGGTTTATTTGAACAGTGGGAGACAGAATAACAACAAAATCCAGAAAAACGCATGTCAAAAATGTTATAAATTGTTTTGCATTTTAATGAGGGAAATAAGTATTTGACCCCTGTGAAAACATGACTTAGTACTTGGTGGCAAAACCCTTGAGGCAATCACAGAGGTCAGACGTTTCTTGTAGTTGGCCACCAGGTTTGCACACATCTCAGGAGGGATTTTGTCCCACTCCTCTTTGCAGATCTTCTCCAAGTCATTAAGGTTTCGAGGCTGACGTTTGGCAACTCGAACCTTCAGCTCCCTCCACAGATTTTCTATGGGATTAAGGTCTGGAGACTGGCTAGGCCACTCCAGGACCTTAATGTGCTTCTTCTTGACCCACTCCTTTGTTGCTTTGGCCGTGTGTTTTGGGCCATTGTCATGCTGGAATACCCATCCACGACCCATTTTCAATGCCCTGGCTGAGGGAAGGTTAAATTTCGATTTAAAGCTTTCGTGACTGCAAGGGAATTTTATTGTGTTATTTTGTTTTATTAATTTATTATTTTATTCTCATTCTACGTGACTTTACCGAAAGAACCAAAAAAGATGAGGGAAGGTTCTCACCCAAGATTTGACGGTACATGGCCCCGTCCATCGTTCCTTTGATGCGGTGAAGTTGTCCTGTCCCCTTAGCAGAAAAACACCCCCAAAGCATAATGTTTCCACCTCCATGTTTGACGGGGGGGATGGTATTCTTGGGATCATAGGCAGCATTTCTCCTCCTCCAAACACGGCGATTTGAGTTGATGCCAAAGAGCTCCATTTTGGTCTCATCTGACCACAACACTATCACCCAGTTGTCCTCTGAATCATTCAGATGTTCATTGGCAAACGTCAGACGGGCATGTATATGTGCTTTCTTGAGCAGGGGGACCTTGCGGGCGCTGCAGGATTTCAGTCCTTCACGGCGTAGTGTGTTACCAAATGTTTTATTGGTGACTATAGTCCCAGCTGCCTTGAGATCATTGACAAGTTCCTCCCGTGTAGTTCTGGGCTGATTCCTCACCATTCTCATGATCATTTCAACTCCACGAGGTGAGATCTGGCATGGAGCCCCAGGCCGAGGGAGATTGACAGTTCTTTTGTGTTTCTTCCATTTGCGATAAATCGCACCAACTGTTGTCACCTTCTCACCAAGCTGCTTGGCAATGGTCTTGTAGCCCATTCCAGCCTTGTGTAGGTCTACAATCTTGTCCCTGACATCCTTGGAGAGCTCTTTGGTCTTGGTGGAGAGTTTGGAATATGATTGATTGATTGCGTCTGTGGACAGGTGTCTTTTATACAGATAACAAGCTGAGATTAGGAGCACTCCCTTTAAGAGTGTGCTCCTAATCTCAGCTCGTTACTTGTATAAAAGACACCTGGGAGCCAGAAATCTTTCTGATTGAGAGGGGGTCAAATACTTATTTCCCTCATTAAAATGCAAATCAATTTATAACATTTTTGACAAGCGTTTTTCTGGATTTTTTTGTCGTTATTCTGTCTCTCACTGTTCAAATAAACCTACCATTAAAATTATATACTGATCATTTATTTGTCAGTGGGCAAACGTACAAAATCAGCAGGGGATCAAATACTTTTTTCCCTCACTGTATATATATTTTCAAACTTCAACTAAGCTATTTATATTTTACCAGGTAAGGACCCACTGAGCTATGTAGTGACCTGGCCACATGTAATGATAGCCCAACGAAGTGGGCTTAGCATCATCATCGTGTGGACATTCATCGTGACCGAAGACACATATTCTCAACGTGTGATGTTGATTCTAAATGTGGGGGAATGAACCGGAGGACCCCGGAGAGAAAAATCAACGGGGAGAGAGAGAGAGAGAGACGCAAGCTCCAAATATACAGCAGCAGCACGTGTCAGGGTCGGGATCAAAACCCACGACCTCCTGCATACCAGGCGAGGTAGTTAACATCTCCTAGCCACCGGGGGGCACTTGGTATCATCTGCCATCCTGACCAGACCTCTTGAAAGAGGCGGCAGTCACCTACCCAACGCTTGATCCCATCACAGCATCATCCTGAAACCACGCTGATTCTAAATCGGAGGACCCGGATAATAAAATTCACACCACCATGGGGGGGGGGGGGGGTGGGTGGGGGGGGGGAGAGACACCGCAAACTCCAAATATACAGCAGCAGCAGCAGCAGGCGTCGTCAGGGTCGGCATCGAACCCACGAGGAGGAGGAGGAGGGAGGAGGATCTCGCGTTGCGCCGCGGTGTTAGCCCGCCGGTACGAGTGGGGAAGGCGGCACGAGGCCTGCGGTGGGCACGGCCACGCCTCGGTGCCACGCCGCGTTCGGCGTGCCGGGCGAGGTGGTTGAGATCTCGCCGCCACCGCGGCGTTGACGCCGTCTGTCGTCGTTGTTGTCGTTCTCGGCGGCGTCGTCGGCGCAGGCTCGGTGACCAGTTCTACCGGGAGGCCATCGAGCACTGCCGCAGCTACAACGCGCGGCTGTGCGCCGAGCGAAGCGTGCGCCTCCCCTTCCTCGACTCGCAGACTGGCGTCGCGCAGAACAACTGCTACATCTGGATGGAGAAGCGGCACCGCCGGCCCGGTGAGGACGTGTGTGTGTGTGATGTGTGACGTGTGTGTGACGTGTGTGTGTGTGATGTGTGACGTGTGTGTGTGTAACGTGTGTGTGTGATGTGTGACGTGTGTGTGTGTGACGGGTGTGTGACGTGTGTGTGACGTGCATGTGACGTGTGTGTGTGACGTGTGTGTATGTGACGTGTGTATGTGACGTGCGTGTGACGTGCATGTGACATATGTATGTGACGTGTGTATGTGACGTGCGTGTGACGTGCGTATGACGTGCGTGTGACGTGTGTATGTGACGTGCATGTGACGTGTGTATGTGACGTGCGTGTGACGTGCGTGTGACGTGTGTATGTGACGTGTGTGTGACGTGTGTATGTGACGTGCGTGTGACGTGCGTATGTGACATGCGTGTGTGACGTGCGTGTGTGACGTGTGTGTGTGACGTGTGTGTGATGTGTGTGTGACGTGTGTGTGTGACGTATGTGTGACGTGTGTGTGACGTGTGCGTGATGTGTGCGTGTGTGACGTGTGTGTGTGACATGTGTGTGACGTGTGTATGTGACGTGTGTGTGACGTGCGTTTGACGTGCGTGTGTGACGTGTGTGTGTGACGTGTGTGTGTGACGTGTGTGTGACGTGTGCGTGACGTGTGTGTGACGTGTGTGTGTGACGTGTGTGTGTGTGACGTGCGTGTGACGTGTGTGTGTGACGTGTGTGTGTGACGTGTGTGTGTGTGACGTGTGTGCGTGACGTGTGTGTGACGTGTGTGTGTGACGTGTGTGTGTGACGTGTGTGTGACGTGTGTGTGTGACGTGTGTGTGTGACGTGTGTGTGTGACGTGTGTGTGTGACGTGTGTGTGTGACGTGTGTGTGTGACGTGTGTGTGTGACGTGTGCGCGTCTCCCCCAGGTCTGTCTCCGGGGCAGCTCTACACGTACCCGTCCCGCTGCTGGCGCAAGAAGCGGCGTCTGCTGCCGCTGGATGACCTGCGGCTCCGGCTGCCCGACATCAAGCCCGGTACGTCGGTGGGGGGGTGGGGGGGTGGGGGGGGTGGGGGGTGGGGAGGTGGGGGGGGTTGGGGGTTGGGGGGGTGGGGGGCAGCTCGAACCGCGCGGTGCGGCTTACGCGACGCCGCTCTGCACTGCCCCTCAGGCCACGGCTTCCACGTTGCTGCTGCGGGCCTTGCTCTCCCGCGAGTTACTACCACCGCTGTTTTATATTTCACCAGGTCTAGGCCCCGACGAGCTACGTAGCTCTTTTTATCAGAAGCGACCCTGGCTATCGCTGAACGATAGCTCAACGACGCGGGCTGATCATCATCATGATCATCATCATGATCATCATCATGATCAGCATCATGATCATCATCATGATCATCATCATGATCAGCATCACCGCGTGGAAAGTCATAGCAGCAGCCAAATACTCGAGACGGGCGACGTCGATTCTCAATGTGGCGAGGAACAAAAACGGAGGGCCCGGAGAAAAATCCACGCGGCCGCGGGGAGAGAGAGAGAGAGAGAGACACGCAAACTCCAAATATACAGCAGCAGCAGCAGGCGTCAGGGATGGGATCGAACCCACGACCCCCTGCGTACCGGGCGAGGTAGTTAACATCTCATAGCCACCGTGGCGCTGCCATCGAGCGAGGCCCCCCCTGGAGCGGTGCCCGGCTGGAACCCAGCGCCAGGCCACCGGTCCGTGCCTGCGCCGGACGCCCTCGTCGCTCGCGCCGTCTACGGAAAATAAAATATTTTATTTTCTGCCCACTACGTGACTTTACCGAAAGAACCAGAGATTCCTGCAGTCACGAAAGCTTCCAGTCAAGATTGAACATTAGCGTTTAAATAATGACAACAACAAGCTTACGACAGCGACGCTCCATTCTTCGAGCTCCGATTACGGCACGTTAGGCGGCACGGCGGGTAACCGCGTTGCGAGCGAAGACCCGACGCGACGACGACGTTTCGTTTAAATAGCAACAGTAACAAGCCGACGATGACGATGAGACACGCAAACTCCAAATATACAGCAGCAGGCGTCAGGGTCGGGATCGAACCCACGACCTCCTGTATACCTAGCGAGGTAGTTAACATCTCCTAGCCACCTTGACGGTGATGAGAGAGAGACACGCAAACTCCAAATATACAGCAGCAGGTGGCAGGGTCGGGATCGAACCCACGACCTGCTGGGATTACACGATTTGGATTTCACAAAGACACCGCGCGGCGATGATCGCCCCTCTCCCCGTGTACTGGCGGCCGACTGCCCCGGGTCACTCTGGCGAACGAGGCTTTGAATCCTGGCCACTTGGGTCGTCTCTTGGGTTGAACAGAAATTGAACTTGAAACTCCGCTTCAGTTCGCTTCTGTCAGGCGACGCGCCCATCGGCCGCTTTGCAAGAGAGTCGACCGCCGAGTACAATGCGAGAGGCGTCGCGTCGGGAGCGTACGGAACAACAAACGACAGCAGCCTGGCCCGTCAAGTGGCCTGAGATCCACGCGCGCCTCCTTGTGCAGGTCCGGAGAGACGGCAATCCCAACGGACGGCTTTGGATAGTTCCAGGCCCTCCGTTGGACGTTCTAGAGCCGTGGCTTCCCAACGGCACGGCGACGCCATTCCGACCGCCGCGCGGTGTGAATAGTAATGGCGTTCGTCGGGCCTCGGGGCCGTGAATAATGCATGAAGGGAGCGAGGCGGGACGGTGGTTAGCGTTTGGTGGAGCCTCGAGACGGGCGGGCGGTGAGCGGAGTCGGCGGCGAGTCGAATCCGCGGGACTTTCACTCGCGCGGGGCACGGCCGGATCGCTCGCCGCGGCGTTCGCTCCGCCGGTACAAGTGGGCAGGGTGGCACGAGACCGGCGGTGGCCGCGTCCGCGTCGCGGTGTTATGCTGCACGCGGTGTGCCGGGCGGCGGAGGTATTTCCCGGGTCGCCGACCTCCGACAGACCCGGTAGAATTTGTTGCCGTTTGTCACGTGACCTGCATAATAATAATAATAAAGACGAAGCGGCAAACGGCGGCGATCGTGCGGTGCGGCTTCGCTCCGCGGAGGGAGCCGTTTTTTTTCCAATCCGCATGCAGGCAGAGGCGAGAGGGAATTTAATTAATTGGCCATGCAACGTGTCGAGACTTGTGCGGGGACGCTGAAGGGGGGGCCCTGGAGATGTGGGGTGGGGGGGGGGGCGGCGGTTAGTGGGGGGGGGTGGGGGGGGGGGGGGACCTTAGCGCCGTTTGAAGCGAGGCCCACGTCCGCCGGCACCGGTACCGCCTGCGGCGGCGGCGGCGGCGGCCGTGACGACGACGAGAGGAGGCGATGGCCGACGTGGGCCCCCCCGGGGAGTCCTCACGGTCACGGCGGAGATGGGGGGTGGGGGGGGAGCAGGGGCAGGGCCGGTGGGTGGGTGGGGGCGGCGAGCTCACGGTGGGGAGACGAGCGGACGTGCGCTACGGGGGGGAGCCCGTTGCTTCCGCGTCAAGTAAAGGATTCGTTTTGTCGTTTGCGAGCGCTCTGAGTGTAGCCAACCGCGCTCATCGGAGGTGCGTGGGGAAGGACACCAAACTAAACGCGAAAAAATCAGTTTGACAGAATTGCGTTTGTCAATCTAGATGATGCTGACGGTTTTAAAGTGCATAGCTACCAGTGGCTTCCCAATATCGGAAGGAGGCGCGTTCCAGACGGCCGCAGAAGCAGCGCACCTGAAAGCGCCGCGCGATGCGGTGACCACCGTCTGTGTTCGACGGCTAACCGAAAGCCCCGCTGCCGCTGCTGCGAGGACGAGTGGAGTCGGCGCGATGATGGTTTATGCTCCTTGAACGAGATCGGCGAGATATTGTGGTGCATGTGTGGCAGGCGCTTTGAGTGCGGCGGGCGCGACCTCGACGTATCCGCTCGGCAACCGGAAGCCGACGCAGCTCGGCGTGCACTGGACGGACACGGCCGGATCTCGCAGTACCCGTCACGACATTTGCCAGAGAATGTTGTACATGCGGCAGTCACTTTGCGTGCAATGATTGCTACCTCGCAATGCATTCGCTCAGCGACCTGGGTCGGGATCGAACCCACGCCCCTCCTGGATAGCAGGATGACCGGAGTCCTCGGCGAGGTGTTTGTGGTTCCGAGCGCTAAACCGGCCGCGTTTGGAGCTCGCCTCCGAAGCGAGGCCCTCCGTGGGGAGACGTCGCGACCGCTAGCGGGGCCTTCGACCCGCGGACCTCCGGCGTCGTTTCAATCTCCGGTGGATAATCCGCCACCCCCCGCGCTATTCTCGTCCTGTCCCCCGTGTGTGATTAAAGAAGCGGCACCGCTCGCCGGGAAATTGTCTTCTATTTATGTACGGGGTGGCCCAAAAGTCAGGACACATTGGGTTGTATTTATTTGAACAAACCACGTGTAGGGTTATTTCCCCCATAATGAAGGTTTTTGTTGGGTTAGATCACATGAATATAACTGCGTCGTTAAAGCCGCCACCACCCGACACGGCCAATTAGTGAGGATTGTCACGTCAACAAAATGTGCCAATTCGTTACTAGTTCAGCACAAACCGGTGTGTTGAAGAGTAAACCCACGACATTTACAATTTCGAGTTAAAGATGTGTTGCTGGTGATTGCGACCGACTTCACCAGGCGATCTTCCATAGACGTGTGACGAAGTCCTCTGGCTTCCAGTCTTCAATGGAGTAAAGGTCACATGATCACCCCGTGGTGAACCTGTAAGGTGCGAAGATGAGAGGCGGGTTTATTGTGATGATGTAACTTACAACGGATTACGTTAATGTGAAAATATATGCGGTAACGTATGTCCAGATGGGTTATTTCATTAAGAAGTATATATCTTTTTTTGTACAAATGTCCAAACTGACTTCCATTCACGTGGATGCGCGCGCGCACGTGAATTCTCTTCTGATGTTAATTCAGAACCCTTTTTTTACAAACATTACAACTGTAGTCTTTGAACGTCCCACCAATTATGTTTCGTCTCAATCCATTCACGGCTCTTGGTCGAGCGTTGGCGAATGTCATCAGAAAAAACAAAAAATAACTGTTCATAATGATAACAGATCACATATTAACTTAAAGAATGAACAATGAGAAAAACAATTATACAGGGTGGCACAATAGGACACATAGGGTGTTAAAATAACTTAAATAACCCTATGTGTCATATTGGGCCACCCTGTATAATAACCCTGTGTGTCCTGTTGGGCCCCCCTGTATAATAATTCTATATGTCCTATTAGGCCACCCTATATAATAACCCTATATGTCATATTGAGCCACCCTGTATAATAACCCTATATGTCATATTGAGCCACCCTGTATAATAACCCTATATGTCCTGTTGGGCCACCCTGTATAATAATTCTATATGTCCTGTTGGGCCACCCTGTATGATAACCCTGTGTGTCCTGTTGGGCCACCCTATATAATATCTCTATATATCCTGTAGGGCCACCCTATATAATAACCCTATATGTCCTGTTGGGCCACCCTGTATAATAACTCTATGTGTCCTGTTGGGCCACCCTGTATAATAACCCTATATATCCTGTAGGGCCACCCTATATAATAACTCTATATGTCCTGTTGGACCACCCTGTATAATAACCCTATGTGTCCTATTAGGCCACCCTATATAATAACCCTATATGTCATATTGGGCCACCCTATATAATAACTCTATATGTCCTGTTGGACCACCCTGTATAATAACCCTATGTGTCCTATTAGGCCACCCTATATAATAACTCTATATGTCCTGTTGGACCACCCTGTATAATAACCCTATGTGTCCTATTAGGCCACCCTATATAATAACCCTATATGTCATATTGGGCCACCCTATATAATAACCCTGTGTGTCCTGTTGGGCCACCCTGTATGATAACCGTTCGTGTCCTGACTATTGGGATGCTATCGGCGCCGGCAGTGGCGGTGGGCGCTGATTGACGGCCCCCGTCGCCCACTATGCGCCGGTATCGACACCTCCTCCTCCTCTCTCTCCCCCCCTCGTTATG